CATCCATCTATCCACCCATCTTTACATCCTTTCATCCTCACATCCATCTATTCATCATCCATCCATCATCCATCTTTCTTTCCATCCAGCCATCCATCTTTCCTTTCATCCATACATCCATCCACCCATCCATTATCATCCATCCTTCCATCAACACATCCATCCATCCATCCATCCATCATCCATCTATCCACCCATCTTTACATCCTTCCATCCATCCATTATCTTTTACCCACTTCTTCCTTTCCGGATCACTGGTGTCCATGTCCAGCAGTCTCTGTGCGAGAAGAGGGGTACACCCTGGACAGGTCTCCAGTCCATCACAGGTTTTACGCTCCCTCACAAATCTTTTACATTCTCTAGAAATACTTTTATATTCCATCATAATATATTTTGTGTTACCTCAGGCTCTAAAGTAAGGGATTCAATACCCCACTGTCATGTGTGGATTTTTGCACAGTCAGGCAGCACAGTGGTTTAGTGGTTAACACTGTTGCCTCACTGCAAGAAGGTCCTGGGTTCAGTCCCCGGTTTGGACCTGGGCTCTTTCTTCGTGGAGTTAGCATGTTGTCCTTGTGGGTTTTCTGCAGGTACTCTGGTTTCCTCCTACAGTCCAACAGTCATGCATGTTGGGCTTCCCTTACAAAAGAGATCTGTGATCTCGATGGTATTTATCTGGTTAAACAAAAGTTAATAAATTAAATAAATGTTCTGTTTGCACCAAACAAATCAAAGTCATGCTTAAAGCTGGAAGTGGGCTGGTCTGAAGACTCTTGAACGCTCATGTGGAGCAGTGCTGCTCCGGTCCAGAACTTCACTCGGTTTGATCATGTTCTGTCACGTTTCATTTCATGTTCGTGGTTTATGAATAAAAACTCTGTTTCATTTTCATCCGTCCGTATAGTTGTAGACAAATTACGTATAACAATTTAGAAAAACCGACAGTAAACAGTGTGTAGAATGATAGTACATAAAATGAAGGCAAAGATTCCTCACGTAGCAGAAACACAATAATATTATTTTCAGACATATCTCTTATCTAATTAAAAACTAAAATGTTTGAGTTTTAAATATCACTTTTTATAACTACTTTCATTAGATATAAACTATATTCAGAATAGATCGTTTAGACAGTTACATTTTAAACAGTCATCAGTGCACGTTGTTTTATCTTGGGGGTTACATCAGCCTCCAGAGTTGCACGTTGCTGCAGTTTTCAGGAAAACGAAATGCTGCGAACACCAACGACACGTTGGCCGTGACTTCGACGTTGTGCTTGTTCTCGTTCCAGGAGTACAAAGTGTCAAACTTCGAGCAAAGGCTCATGAGTGAAATCGAGTTTCGTCTGGAGCGAACTCCGGTGGAGGAATCAGACGACGAGGTGCAGCACGACGACGTCCCCACGGGGAAATGCATCGCCCCCATTTTTGAAAGGAAACTGAAGAACTTCAAGGCGATGGAGGGCGTGCCGGTCACTTTCACGTGTAAAGTGTTGGGAATCCCGCTTCCAAAGGCGAGAAGGTTTTCCACACAAAAGCACAATCCTCCTTTTTATCTCCTCGCTGACATTTCTGTTTCTCCTCAGGTGTACTGGTTCAAGGACGGTAAGCAGATCCTGAGGAAGAACCTCCACTACAGGAAGATAAGAGAAGGTGACGGGACCTGCGCTTTACACATCGACTTCACGACCAGCGACGACGACGGCAACTACACCGTCATGGCCGCTAATCCACAGGTTGAGCCTCAGTCCGTTCTTCCCCTCTCTATAATCTTTTCCTGACTTCTCTTTTATTTCTGTTTAACAATCATAAGGGACGAATCAGCTGCTCGGGACATTTAATCGTCCAATCCGGACCTCCCCGAAACCGACTGACGCCCATCCAGTCCCAGAGGTGAGCAGGCCTGACAGGAATGTACAGCGGTGAACGCACCTCTGCCGTGGACAAAACAAACTTTCTGTTCCTCAACAGCAAAGTCAGTTCAGTCTTCATTTTGAGTTGCAAACATTTTCTGAGCAGTGAGGACATTAGCAGCATGGCCCTGTTAGCAGCATGGTCCTGTTAGCAGTGCTGTCCTGTTAGCAATTTGGTTCTTTTAGCAGTGTGGTCCTGTTAACAGTGTGGCTCTGTCAGCAGCATGGTCCTGTTAGCTATTCAATTCTTTTAGCAGTGTGGTCCTGTTAGCAATATGGTTCTTTTAGCAGTGTGATTCTGTTAGCAATATGGTTCTTTTAGCAGTGTGGTCCTGTTAGCAATATGGTTCTTTTAGCAGTGTGATTCTGTTAGCAGCATGGTCCTGTTAGCAATGTGGTTCTGTTAGCATCATGGCCCTGTTAGCAGCATGGTCCTGTTAGCAATGTGGTTCTGTTAGCATCATGTTCCTGTTAGCAGCACAGTCCTGCTAGCAATGTGGTTCTATTAGCAGTGTGATCCTGTTATCAATTTGGTTCTTTTAGCAGTGTGGTTCTGTTAGCAGCATGGTCCTGTTAGCAATGTGGTTCTGTTAGCATCATGGCCCTGTTAGCAGCATGGTCCTGTTAGCAGCACAGTCCTGTTAGCAATGTGGTTCTATTAGCAGCGTGATCCTGTTAGCAA